CATAACAACACTACAAACTACTTACCTCACAAAAATGTTGTGAGGATTAAGTATATGTAAAGCACTTAACAGTGCTTGCAACCATTAAGCATAATTATTTGCTATTATAATTATTCAACATGTTTGCTTTTGTCCCTAATAGTTTGAACTGCAGGATTCAGTTATTATGTATTTCCTTTATTACACTTTTGCATATTACAAATTCATTAACATTTCTGGAGTCATCATGACTTTTTAATTATGCATTTGTCTTTTGGACCTTGTCATTTCTAATTCTGTTTTCTTTTGTTAACATTCTGTTGAGGGGTGGGGGGAGCAATGCAAAAAAAAAAAAAGAAAAAACCATTCTGTTTACCTTTCTCATCTTAATGCACTTTCTACAGTGAAGTATGCAGCATAAATGAAGTAGTAGTGTATTGCAATAAAATTAAAACTTTTATTTCTATTTTTATCAAAAAAGAAAGAAATTAATTGTTGCTAACATTTAATATACAGAGTAAGTCTGGTATGCCTTCACTTTTCAGATTGAGGGTCCACATTTCAGATTGCTTTGTGTCACAAAACAAATATGAGAGTAGCAAAAAGAATTCAATACTCATAGGAGTTGACAGTAGAAATGGCACTCATTTGTTTCTTATTTTAAGTTATATATGACCAATTCAATTACTTTAAGCTTAATATTATCTTTTCTGTTAAGATGAAGTCTCACTCCATCACCCAGGCTGGAGTGCGGTGGTACGCTCTTGACTCACTGCAACCTTCGCCTCCTGGGTTCAAGCAATTCTCCTGCCTCAGCCTCCTGAGTAGCTGGCACCACAGGCGCGGACCACCACGCTTGGCTAATTTTTGTATTTTTAGTAAAGACAGGGTTTTGCCATGTTGGCCAGGATGGTGTCAGTCTCCTCACCTCAAACGATTCACCTACCTCGGCCTCCCAAAGTGCTGGGATTATAGGCATGAGCCACCATGCCTGCCAATAGTATCTATTTTTAACTCCTGGCAAAATGGAAACTCACCAAGCACAGATTTTTTTTTTTTTTTTTTTTAAGACAACTGAAACAGAAACAAAAACCTGAGTATGTAATCACAAGTAAATAAAAAATGTGGTGGCACTGTCACTTCTTGAACAAGTTAATCTTAGTCCACTATAAAAGTAAAGCATGAAAATCTAATGATATCTGATAAGAAAATTACCTTGAAAACTTTAAATCATTAAGAATACTACTAAAAATAAGGATACAGACCCATTACCAACATTAGAACCATGTCTAAATAAATACTGACTCTGGAGATAATAGCCTGTGATATTTGAAACCATTGTGTCATCACAGTATTTTAATCAGAATAGTTTCAAATATTGTGTCTTCATCTGCCCATTACAGATTACTTTTACATGAATAATGGTAGTGTAATATTATATCCATTTAATTCTATCAATAAATATACATATGCTGCAAAGTACACTTTAATATAATAAACAAGGGTATACGCTCAGTCTTCTGATCACCAAAGGTGCAAGGAAGAAATCTTTTCATGTATTTATTTTTATTTATAAGATATTTAGAAAACATAAGCAGCTCAGAACTAAGAAGGTCTTAAATAATCACCACAATTACTCTTTTTTGTTTTGTTTTCTTTTGTTTTGAGATACAATATCACTCTATCGCCCAGGGTGGAATACAGTGGTGCGATCTCAGCTTACTGCAACCTCCGTCTCCTGGGTTCAAGTGATTCTTGTGCCTCAGCCTGGCCAGTAACTGGAATTACGGGCATGTGCCACCACTCCTGGCGAATTTTTGTGTTTTTGGTAGAGACAAGGTTTCACCATGTTGGCCTGGCTGGTCTTGAAGTCCTGATCTTAGGTGACCCACCTGCCTGAGACTCTCCAAGTACAGAGATTACAGGCATGAGCCACCATGCTGACCACCACACAGTTACTTCTTAAGCACTCCTCTCAGAAGTTAAAAACTCCAGCCCTTTGAAAAGGAGCATGGAGAAGAGAGAAGAGGCTTACCACGGGTTTTCACTATTAGGATTATAGTCTAAAAAACGTTTTAGTGATGGGATATACAGTTGAAACAATTTACAGTCTTTAATTTGGGACTAGAGATAATTTGAGCTTTCCCCTACCATATCTGTAATATCTCCTTTTTTCAGTTTGTATACTATTTAACCATTGTAATTCTTATTAAATAATGTTAATCATTTGATTAAGTAAATGCTGAAATGGATAAATTCAGAGAAGTACATATAAACAGACAGGAAATGAGAAAAAAGCTAGAAGATAAGTTGTTATTACTGGAGAAAGGCACAATACACAAAAATCACACAATTTATCAATGTAATGCAAAGTAACAGCAAGAATTAAAGGTACTAAATGAGTACACTAAATGTGTTTTGTTATAAAAATTTCCAATCTGACCTTGGGGAAACATACCTAAGACTTTACATATGAAGGTACGATTCCAAAAATGTGAGCAAGAAATATCAATTTGCTTTACCTTTCTACAGATAGATCTATCAAGAGCCAAGTGTATGTATTGACTGAGCAGCCCATACCCTGTTCGGGAATTAATTCATTTTTAAATTAGGTTGACATTACAATCATGAAGCACTGCTAGCTGTGGACAGGTTTACAGATATTTTTAAAAGGTTATTAACATTATAATAATCTGTTTATAATAAAGTATAGGAGACAAAGTATAGTTCTCAGGCAAATAACTTACTTCTAGATCACTTTACCAAAAATCTAAACAGCTTCAAACTAACTCATCTCACCTTTACCTTACTTTGCTGTAATACAATATATAAATTTCAACAAAATTTTAATGATTATTCCTTAAGAACTAGACATTCTTCTGGACTCTTGGGATCCAATGGTTCCTGTCATCAGATCTTTCAGAATATTACAAAATATAATTTAACAAAACTAACCTCCTCAATTCCCAGACCAAATGACATATACAGTCTTTTGAAGAAAAAACTTAATAAGCTTGTTAAAATAAGGTATATTTCATAACATACATGCATTTAAACCCAGTTTCTCAGATGTATCCACAATGGCAAAAGGAGTAATAACTTTCCCAAGTGACAGAAAATAAAATACATAGCCTCCGATATCTAGTAAGTATTTTTGCTTTAAATAAATACCTTCATATTATAATCAAACCGTATTACTTTACTTTCAAACAAAAAAATTTGGATGGTGATTTTAAAAAATAGTCTTCTTTGATTAAGTTGATCATCTCAAATACTGTGAGAAAATATAGTTAGGTATATGAAATAAATTCCTTTTCAGTAATTTCACTTGCTGTGTAACTCATTCTTAGTTGTGTTAATATTTACTATTCCTTCAATATGCCATAGTAGTTAACAATATTTACCGGAATTTTTTTTTAAGTATATATTTGGCCAGGCACGATGGCTCATGTTTGTAATCCCAGCACTTTGAGAGGCCATGGCAGTAGGATCACCTGAGGTCAGTAGTTCAAGACCAGCCTGGACAACATGGAGAAACCCTGTCTGTACCAGTAACACAAAACAAAATTAGCTGGGTGTCGTGGTACACTCCTATAATCCCAGCTACTCAGGAGGCTAAGGGACGAAAATTGTTTGAACTGGAGAGGTGGAGGTTGGAGTGAGCTGACAACATGCCACTGAGCTCCAGTATGGGCAACAAAGTGAAACAAATAAACAAAAAGTATATATTTATTTTCCTAAATTTCTCAACTTCTAGTTATTTAATAATCCTAAAACAAAAGTAATGCTTTCTTGTTATATGTGCATTCTCACAGCATCTTTATTTCTGTTTTTATCTCATTCCATTTTCATATGTGAAGAGTTTTACTAAGTTAATTCTTGGCTTTCTCTTTTTTTAAATTTTCCTTAAATCAGCTTTGGTATACATTAAAATCACCTGCTGAACTTTCAAAAATCCCAATACACAGATCACACACCATTTGTCTTAAAATGTATGTTTATATTACTTTTTCCAAGTTAAAATTAGTAATAATAAAAGCCTGAGTCCACTCCCTGTCGAAGAGCCGACCTAGAAAATAGTGCTGAAAGTTAAGAAAAAGAAACATGTACCAAAATTAGAAATGTTACTTAAATCAAAAGGCAGAATGTTAAAAACTGGAATTACTGGTAGCCTAATATATAAATTCATTTCACTATAAATACAATACAAAAATAAAACTGCGGAAATGTTTCAGCATTTACAATCAGTGTAAAACTGCTCAAGAGAGTATTTTTGTGAAAATGGGAAAGGTGATTAATTTGTGAAGCCAAGCAAAGAAAACATGTACTCTGAATATAAGAATACTTTCAAGCAGAGTGTCCCAAAGAGAAGCTTAACATTTACACACACAGACACACACACACACACACACACACACACACACACACACACAGCCCAACACCCACCCCGTACATACTTCAGGGGGCTGGGAGAAATTCCATGTAAAATAATTTTGGGAAATTCTCAGGTAAATGAAGGTAAGCAGGGTTTTTCTTAATTAGGATTTCATAATCTCGAGGCAGGTATAATATGTGGTTCTGCTTAGAATTCACTGACCTCCTAAGACTGACCCTTTGCTTATTATGATAGAAAAAAGAAAAAAAAAAAATTCACTGACCTCCAAACTCTTTTCCCTTAAAATCATTTAATGCAACCAGCACTGTACAAACAAAAACTGTTGGAGATGCATTTATAAATTAAGAAATTTGAGATAGTCTTCAAAATAAATGTCAAGAATCTACTTCTACCTCATACCACTAATTTTCTTATCCTACCAATAATTATTCAATACTCCACACAATATAATCAAATCTCCAAAGATCATTAATTTTGGAATTAGTACCATAGATTATTATATAAAATTAAAAAATAGATCTTCAGTTACACTAAACATCAAATCAAAACAAAACTTGAGATAATCAACATATTCATCATTAGAAAGTATAACTAGGCAATTTGTATAAATACTGGAATGCTATACCTCATCAAATTCTTCCGTCATTTTTCTGATGATTTCTGCATTCTGCATATTTCGAAACATCTCTATTCTCACAGTACCTGTGGAACAACAAATTTTACCGTTAATCTTTGAGATAAACTTCCACTCTCCCAAGAATTAACAAGTTATCTGTGAGAATCTCAAAAGAATAACCTTCCAACATACACTTTATATTAAAACATAAAAGGTTTGATCAGGCCCTTCTAACAGGACAGTACTCCTAATAAGGAAAAAAAAATAAATTTTGAAATTGCCATTTTTAACTATAAATAATTCCATAATTAGACATAACATCAGGAAGCTACCCTAAAGTTCTCAGATAATTTAAATTGTGTTAAATTGCTGGTAAAAGTATAACTTGGTACAACGTGTATGGTATATAATTTAGTACATGTCTGTCAAAACTACAAGTTTACACACCCTTTGACCCACAGATTGCACTTGTAGCAAAATATCCACAGACTAACACATGTGCAAAGTAATGAATGTAAAAGGTTATCCCTGTAGCACTGTTTGTAATTTAAAAAAAAAAAAAAAAAAAGGAAAGGAAGCCTATATGCTCATAAACATCTGATGAAATAAATAAAAGGCTGCTATTAATGACAATGGTGGCAGCAGCTAACATTTGGATGCTTACTTTCTTCCAGGCACTTGATGTCTATACATTTAATCTTTACAACAATACAATAAAGAACATACTATTCTTTCTTTCTTTCTTTTTTTTGAGATGGAGTCTCGCTCTGTTGCCCAGGCTGGAGTGCAGTGGTGCGATCTCAGCTCACTGCAACCTCTGCCTCCCAGGTTCAAGTGATTCCCTTGACTCAGCCTCCCAAGTAGCTGGGACTACAGGTGCCTGCCACCACGCCTGGCTAATTTGTATATTTTTAGTAGAGATGGGGTTTTACTATCTTGGCCAGGCTGGTCATTAACTCCTGACCTTGCGATCCACCTGCCTCAGCCTCCCAAAGTGCTAGGAATACAGGCGTGAGCCACTGAGACTGGCCTAGAATACACTACTATTTCTATGAGACAAGGGGCACTGAGAGGTTTAGCAACTTGCAAAAGGAGTTTCTCAGTATCAGATCCATGGTTTACATGCAGGCAGCCTGGCTACCATGATTAACCACTACTTTTCATTGACTCTCAAAGTCAACGGAATCTAACAAAAATATAGATGGAGCTATCAAAAAATAATAAGCCTATTTCGACTGATATGGAAAGATTTATAGGATATATTCAAACACAAAAAACAGTGAATATTGAAATATATTTGATTGAACATACATTAAAATATTTTATACCACTGCAGAGCAGAGAGTTTTTCTTCAATGTTCTGACTGCTATTGCCTGGAACATTACTAAGCACATGGGAAGCATTCAAACAAATAAATATAAGATAATTAAATGAGATAACAAATGTAAAGTATCTGGCATTGCACCTGTAGCATAAAAGATACTCAGTATTAGGCTCTCCTCCTTTGGGCATTCATTTTTTTTGATACATTATCTTGCCCATTTTGGAAGCAAGCTAAAAGCTCCAATTCCTAATTTGAGCTCTAAGGGAAGTCAGATTCCTACATGTATACAGATTCAAATACTGTTCGAAGAGACAAAATCAGAACCAGGGAAAGTCATTCTAGTTGTTTTCCCATCACCCAGACCTATAGCCTCTACCTCCAGAGTAGACATGACCATGTCCAACAGCACTGAACGCCCTTGTTCAAAATGCCTAGTACCTATCATAAGGATAAGTTAAGAGAATGAAGAGATAAACTGTCAGAAAAGTAAAGAAGGACCTAGCAAACTTTCTTACCCTCATATATACGAACCACACAGCTCAGAGAAACATCTCAACTCTGTCCTCCTCAGTCATTTTCAATTCTCCCCCTTCTCTGTTCTATGATGTCAGCCAGGCAGAAACTCCAAGCCTTCTATGCATCCCTCCCACTAGGTACACAAGTATGTAGAAGATTGAAAGTAGACACAACCTTACTGAGCAGCAAAACCATTTATCCAAATATAACAAAAGGCTCTTTTAAGTTTATATTAATAATAGCTCTTGGCCATGCGTGGTGGCTCACACCTCTAATCCCAGCACTTTGGGAGGTAGAGGTGGGCAGATTGCTTGAGATCAGGAATTCAAAAGCAGCCTGGCAACAACAGCAAGACACCGACTCTACTAAAAAAAACAAAAAAAAACCATAGCTGGGTGTGGGTGTCACATGCCTGTAATCCCAGCCACTCAGGAAGCAGAGGCAATGAACCTGTGAGGTCGAGGTTACAGTGAGCTGAGATTGTGCCACTACACTCCAGCCTGGATGACAGAGCAAGACTGTATCCACCCGCAGAAAAGGTTATTGCTTTTATGACATATCATTCTTGCTTACCCAAAATTACTGAAGTCTAAGTGTGGTTGAAATACACTAACACTGTCTAACACATTTAGCAAAAGAGCCTTCCAATAGTAGATGCTTTCTAAGTAACTGCTCCATGTATAAATCATTTTAAAGCTTTTCTTTTAAAGAGTGGATTACAGAGTCTTAATAAATAAAATATAATCTAGTTATGTACTAGAGATAATCCAATAATATGACAGGACAATTTTTTTTCTTATTTTTTGAGACAGTCTCACCATTGCCCAAGCTGAAGTGCAATGGCGCAATATCAGCTCACTGCAACCTCCGTCTCCTGGGTTCAAACAATTCTCCTGCCTCAGCCTCCTGAGTAGCTGGGATTACAGGTGTGCACCACCATGCCCGGTTAATTTTTGTATTTTTAATAGAGACGGGTTTACACCACATTGGTCAGGCTGGTCTCAAACTCCTGACCTCAGGTGATCCACCCACCTCAGCCTCCCAAAGTGCTGGGATTACAACTGTGAGCCACCATGCCTGGTCATTTTTTGTTTCATTTTTATATAACCTAGGCCTGATAAAGATCAAACTGTAAATCAAGACTAGACATAAATATGGATGGACTGGTAGAAAAAATCTGAGTCAGGCAAGGAGAAGAAATGCTGAGTCTACTAAAACTGAGAAGGATTCACTGAATAAACAACTGCATACCAGAAATGTAGAACTTAACAGTTACCTCATAATGCAGTGACTACATTTAAGAGTCTTTTTCAAGATTTGAGGAGGGCAGTCTGGGGGAAAGGTAAAGAAAGAGACACTTTGTTGCCTTTCAAGCTTAATCATAAATATCTTGGGATGCATGGGATCTGTCTAGGCAGTACATGCAAAAATGAAAAAAAAAAGCCTCAAGTTATTATAAATAAATACACATTTTTGATACTTAAAAAATTTTTAGAAGCCTTGAAAATAGAAATTGCTATGATTACATCTCCAATGATGACTCTGTCTCTAGATGGCAGTCTTCACTTTATAACAGTCCTT